CTGACAATGCCGCAAATTTTTTGGAAATGGCCAAAGAACTGGGAAAATTGAAAGCTCAACTAACCGATCAAGAGATCGAATGGACTTTCAATCCACCCAAAGCAGCATGGTTTGGTGGACATTTTGAAGTCTTCATAGGACTAATTAAAAAAGCAATCTTCAGAAGCATACCCAGCTTAAACATACTTCTGAATGATGAAGAATTGGCAACCTTGACTACTGAAATATCACGGATGTTAAACAACAGACCATTAACTTATGTCTCACCAGATGGAGTTAACTCTGTTTTAACACCCGCCCATTTCATGATAGGAAGCCAAATCACATCTGAAATCGTTTGTCCGGAATCCATATCCAAAGACTGTAAAAGCAGATATTTATTTCTCATAAAATATCTGAATAAAGTCTGGAAAAAATTGTCTCAAGATTACTTACCAAAGTTAAATTTGAGACAAAAATGGCACACGGACGGAAACAATTTCGGAATAGGCAATATCGTGTTGATAAAAGACATCAACTCGAAAAGAGGAAGCTGGCCAATCGCCATAATAGAAAAGTTGGAAATGGGCGAAGACAACATAGCAAGGTCAGCGACATTGAGAAGTCGTGGAAAAATCGTCCGACGTGCACTGAATTCTCTTTCTCCTATTGTCTCAGTAGAAAGCTTCAGCGTGGCCGCAGAAGCTTTGAGGGGAGAATTATGAAGTCGCGCCAATCCAACGGATAGTCGTTTAAAATAATTTTTTGATGGTGCTAGCATTGAAATCTCCACGCTTGACCACAGGGGGGCATTTGACCTCAAGGGGGCTCAAGCGCGCTAGCGTTGAAATCACCACGCAAAGAAGTAATTCACCGCAAAGTGATTTCAGCGAGTCAAAAGATTATGAATCACGTCTATCCAATGGATGGTCGTTCAAAACAGTTACTTACATGCATACTAACACCCAATGCAACTGGTAACCATGTACGATCATCTTATTTAAATTTCGATTACTCTCAGTATTAACATCAATCGTCGTAAGACAGTTAATACCGTTAAGTAAATAAAATTCGAAACTCGTATTTTAGCAAAGGTTTGCGTTTTACGCTATTACGAAACAAAATCAAATCTTCGTTTATACAATTACCCAAACACAGAAAAAATGGAAAAACGCATATTGCGAAAACCATTTTTCGGGAGCGAGTGGGACTCATCATTTTGCTCGAAAATTGTATATAAAACTGTTGGGAAAGCTTGTCGAACTACCAAAAGAGCACTAATCTTGATCGTCCCAAGGGGGGAAGGAGCTCCGAGGTATAAAACCCCCCTGTCCCTTCCCGAGCTTTCTCACTTGAACAGTGTTTGTCAGATTGACAATAGTGTAGTGAAGTGTTTGTGTCATCCCCAATTTCATCGGAGTCTGTGTGGAACCACGTCAGGAATTAAAACTACTGAACGCCACGCAGCTCCGATAACATCTTCACTCCACGGATCATCAATCTCCAATCGTTCATCTTCAGTCTTCATCCGACGTCGTGGATTATGGCAGGTAGGCAACTCGACGCGGATAAGACTAAACCTACACCGTCGTCTTTGAAGAAATCGGGTGTACCTTCAAAAACGACTATTGTTTCCACCCCATCTACATCGGATTCATACACCATAATCACCAACAAGCTTTTGGAAGCGATACGTATCCCTGATACCAGCTCAACCGAAAGCGATTTGTGGATCGGGTATGAATCTAAGGTATCTGGAAACATCTGTAACCCCAAGAACTTCATCAAGACTCAAAAGGTGGAATTTATCGTCAACGATCAACAGTTGTTGGCAGCTTCAAAATATATAAAAGAAGCTGCAGACGAAGATGATATACTGTATATCACTTTCGTCAGTGACGGTAAATTAGACTGGTACCTTTTGCTTGGAATGGTAAGGATCCCCAAGGTGTTCGCGATCGATTTGGCCACCATCAAAGAATCGGCTCGAACGGAAGACTTGGGAACCGCTATACACCACCTGATGCCTGTGTTTTCTGATGTGACCATCTTCAAGATAATCACGGATCAGCATTCAAACGAGAGCATCATTCGCCATGGTCTGAGGCTGCTTTTGAAGAACAAAACACCTCTAATACATCTATGGAAATATGGACTGAATTTGAGAGAAATGGGTGACATACCTCGTTATTATGATAATAACGATGCTGCCGTCTTCTTTAAGAGAAGACCTTTCTCTCTAAATCCCGTCCATGAGGAAGATTCGCAATTGACACGGGCCGATACTCTTTTTTATCGGAAAGCTGCCAGAAGCCCCCTCTTCGTGCAGCTTAAAAAACGTGACGAATTCCTTAAAAATTATCTTTTCTCCTCATCCCTTGCTGGTTCTCTGGCCGTACTTTGGTTTACCAAAGTAATGTGCAACGACCAGCAAGTTGGTGTAGACTACAGAAAAGGTCTCATTGAAATTGGTGGAATAGCCTCCGTAGTGAAAGCTGCGGTGGAACAATATACTTTATTGTTGGCGAAACCCACCAATGAAATAACTAACCCATGGTTCAATCTTACAGGGAAAAGTAACAATGTTGGAAATGGAAAGGGGAAGGAAAAGGCCAAGAGGATCTCCTATCCTAATCCGACCCCGGAAAAGTCCAACGAGATGGACGTGGACCTTCCTGAGGCGTTGAAGGGACGAATTGGGGAGAAGGTATTGGAGGGAACCTCTACCATCCAGGAACTTCCCCCACCAACCATCATCCCAACAACCTTCAACGTCCCACCACCCGTCATTTCCGGAAACTCTTTATCATCCAACGCCCTGGAAGCTCTGGCTGCAGCCCTGGTGTCCTTGCCACAGCAAATCCAAGCCTCTGTTGGCAAGGCAATCGCTGGGACAGAGGGACAGCAAGTCAAGGAGGCGGAAAGGGGACGAAAAATCTCCAAAGAGTTGGGAAGGAAGGGTGAGAAGAGGAAGGACAGGTCGGAGTCGAACCGACAGAAGAAGAAGATGGAAGGTGAAGGGAAGAAAGGAAAAGTGGACTCGATTGCCGCCTTAATCGAGAGGAAGGAGAAGGAGGTGGAGACCGATTTGATGATGGCAGGCAAGCTCCAAAAGGAGTATATGTGTATGGAGAAGGAGGTGGAAGTGATGGCAAAGCGGCTCCAACTCTTGAAGGATGCGGCAGGAGAGCTGCAGCGAAAATCCTCCTGTGCCAAGGAGGAGTTGGCCATCCTTAAGAAGATCTAAAAAACTCGTTGGACTGATCCCA